TAGGGTTTAGGGTTTAGGGTTTAGGGCGTGTTTGGCTCTGGATGGCCTCGAGGCTGGACAGAGAGACTCAGCTGAACTTGTCTCTGTCTTTTCACCTAGAGACAAAACTGGCTCTAGGGTTTAGGGTTTAGGGTTTAGGGTTTAGAGTTTAGGGTTTACACTCGGGTCAGCGGCTTGCCTGCAGCGCCTGTGGGGCCCCTGTCTTATTTGTGTGTCTTACGGGGCCCACGAGTCCCCTCTCTCTTTGTCTGCTGCTGCTGCTGCAGCCAGTGCTGCTGCTGCTGCTGCAGCCAGGGCTGCTGCTGCTGCTGCTGCTGCAGCCCGTGCTTGGCGCTGCTGCTGCGCTGCTGCTGCGCCGCGTCTGCACCTTCTGCGCTTCACAGCTCGCCCTGCTGCAGCGGCGAGAGAAATGCTGTTGCTGCTGCAGAGGGTGCTGCTGCAGCAGCTGCTGCAGCAGCAGCAGCAGTGCCCGCGAGCTTCAAGGGGCCCCCAGCGGCGCTGCCAGGGGGGCCCCTCCGTCTCAATTTTGTTCTTTCTTTGCTGCATTTTGCTGCTTGCTGCTGCACCTCAGGGGGCCCCTCTGCTGCTGCCCCGTGGGAGCCCCCCAACGCACTTGGGGGGCCCCCTGTTGGGCCCCCAAAGCCGCGTTCTCCCGAGCTTTGCAGCCCAGCAGCAGCAGCAGCAGCAGCAGCAGCAGCGGGGCCTTCTGCCCCTAGCGTTTGCAGAGCCCTTGGGGGCCCTTAGAAATTTGCTAAGAAGCAAAAAGAAGGTGGGAGGGGACCCGGGGGCCCCTAAGGCGGAATGCAGCAGCAAGACTGCAAGCAGCAGCGGCAGCAGCAGCAGCAGCAGCAGCGACAGCAGCAGCAGCAACAGCAGCACTCCAGCAAAAGCATCAAACCCCGTGGAAGCTGCTATTGGATCAGCCCTTGCGCTTGCTGCTGAGCAAATGGGGAGGCTGCGGCAGCAGCTGAACGCCGTGCTGCTGCAGCAGCTGCAGCAGCTGCAGCAGCAGCAGCCGCTGCAGCAGCAGCAGGAAGGACTAATGGCAGCAGAAGCACCTGGAAAAAAGAACCGCCACCAGACCCTCCCCATAACGGAGCTTGCTGCTGCTGCTGTTGCTACTGCAGCGAAGAAAAGGCTAAGGGACATTGTAAAAGGGCCAGCAGCAGCAGCAGCAGCAGCAGCAGATGAGGGGGTGCTGCAGCGCGCAGAGGGCGAGCTAGAGGCCTACGTGGACAGCGAGGCGAAGGGTTTGTTTCAGCAGCAAATGCAGCAGCAGATCTTGCTGCTGCTGCAGCCGTTTGCTTCTGGGGCTGCTGCTGCTGCTGCAGACAGTCCCGAGGGAAGCCGCAGCAGCAAAGGAGCGGACCCAGAGCAGCAGTTAGCTGCAGCAGCAGCAGCAGCAACACAAGAGTTTGGGCGGCTGCTGCAGCAGTGCGTGCCTTCGGCCCAGGTTCGAGAGCGGTGGGGCTGCCGGGAGCTGCAGCAGCTGCTGCAGCAGCAGCTGCTGCAGCATTTGAAGGGGCTGCGGCTGCAGCGCAGCGAGCAGCAGCAGCAGGCGGAGACGCTGCTGCGGGTGGTGCAGCACCAGCAGGGGCTGCTGCAGCAGCTGCAGCAGCAGCTGCAGCAGGAGCAGCAGCCCAGGCCCTTCTCCATGGGCGCAGCCTACAGAGTCCCCGACACAAACCTTCAAGTTGCTGCTGCAGCAAGACACGGGAAGCTGCAGCTAAACTTCACTTGTGTCCCTGATGACTCTCCTGCTGCTGCTGCTGGGGTTTTGGGGCAGCAGGGTTTTGTGCGCGGCGTAGAGGGCCTGGGCAACCTGGGCCTCAGCTGCTCCTTCTCTATTTAACCCCCTGCTGCTGCTGCTGCTGCTGCTGCGGTTGCGTGTTGCTGCAGCAGCTTTTGCTGCAGCAGCAGCTGCTGCTGCTGCGCGCGGGCGCAGCGCCTCAGTGTTGCTTCACCAGCAGCAGTCTCAGATGGACAGCAGAGTTGGCTGTTTTTAGGTTTGTGTTCGATCGGGCAGCTAGGGTTTAGGGTTTAGGGTTTTCAGCGAGGGTTTGGCTTTTGTAGTTAGGGTTTTCGCTGTGGAGCTTGAACTGAGGGTTCACAGCGAGGGTTTCGGGTGTAGAGCTAGGGTTTAGGGTTTAGAACTGGCATTTAGGGTTTAGAGCTAGGGCCTACGGGTTTGCGGTTTCCACGAGCTCGATGCGGCGCTGCTCGGGGTTCCCCCAGGAAATATTTTTGGAATTCCAAATTAATTTTAATATTATTTAAATGCAATTTTAATTACTTTTTGCTGCTAATTTTCTCTTAACTGCGCGTGCTTTGTCTGTGCACGCTGGCTGTGTGTGCTGCTGCTGCTGCTGCTCGGCGCTGCTGCAGTGAAGGGGGCCACGGGCAGGTGCTGAAATAGAAGATCGGCAGCAGCTGCTGAAATGACTTAAAAACAAATTGAAAATTAATTTATTAAAAAGCTTTCAAGCCCGCTTTTGCTGCAGCAGCAGCAGAACTCATATTTTTGCGCCCCCTGCCGGGCACGGCAGCGCAGACACGGTCTTGGGCTCGACGGCCAGAGGCCACAGTCTGTGAGCGCCAGCGCGGAACTGCAAATAAAAATAAAGAATAAAGCATTTAAGAATAAGGTGAAACGAAGAAAGTAAATAAACTTTGCGTGTGTAGACTGCAGACAGCCAAAACTGCCGAACATGAACGGCAGCAGCAGTGTGCGCGTGCGCGCTGCAGGCGCGCCAAATGAAAGCTGAAACTGCTGCTTCTTGAGACTCTTTCAAGTTAAAAAAGCTTTAAAATAATAATAAATGCAAATATTGAAGAGAGAAGAAAGAAAAGAAGGTGAAAAGAAGCGGGCGGGCTGTCTGTCAGTCAGGCTACAGACACCGCTGGTCTGCTGGGCGGTCGCCGAGCGGCGGAGAGCGGCGAAGAGAAGAGGAATGTGCAAGTCAGCAAAGAAAGAATCTTTTCGTATTCCAAACTTGAAATTAATTTTGTTATTTCCTTGCAAACCCCGAGCTTGTCTTCGCCTGCAGTTTCCGCGCATTTCCTGTTTTTCAGCAGAAGCCTCTGCCAAGTGTGCACCGAGTGAGACCACCACCGCAGTTTCAGCCTTCGACCGCGACTTTTCTCGAAATTTAAAATATTAAATAGCACTGTTTGTTGTTTTTCGATCTTTGGAGCTTCTTTTGAGCTGCGCAGGAGCTGAAACGGCTGCGGATCGCCGCAGTTCATGTTTTCCGTGACTGCTTTCGTTCAAGTTCTGCATTTGCCGCGTAGGCCGCTAAAAAGCCACCAACCTGGAGCTGCTGAAAAGGCTTTTCTTTGGAATTGTATTCGCCTGCAATTGGGCCTTTGGCTGCAGCAATAGGGCCGCGTGTTCCCTCGCTTTCCCTCTGTCTTGGCACCATGGCTGCTCCTGGCTGCGAAGCTCCTGCTGCAGACCACGAGGCGCTGCACCTCGCCCGCCCCGTTTTCGAAGTCCTCGACCACCCCGCCATTCTCCGCTTTCGAAAAGTCCGCGAAAACCCTCAGACACAAACCCTAAACCCTAAACCCTGAACCCTAAGCCCTAAACCCTAAACCCTGTTCCGCCCCGTTGCGCCTCGCTGCTGATGCTGCCCTCTTCTCGGGGCTCCTCTGCAGCCCCCAGAAGCTCAAACCCTCAACCCTAAACCCTAAACCCTAAACCCTGACCCCTCAAACCCTAACCCCTGAACCCTAAAATCCGAATCCTAAACCCTAAACCCTAAACCCTTGTGGCGGGGCTGTTCAGGACTACCAGCTGCACCGGCTGGGCTACGCGAAGGGGGCGAAGGGGGAAGTGGGTGCAGCGCTGCGCAAAGTCGCGGAGAAGCAGCAGCAGCAGCAGCAGGGAGGTGTGGGGCCCCACACTTCTTTGCTGCCAGAAGGCATTTCGGGAAATGAAGCAGCAAACTTGCTTTCTCCTTTTGCTGCTTATGCAGCAGATTCTCCCTTTGCCACAGATGAGGCCCTTTTGGCTCAGATCGCCAGGTGGCGAATGGCTTACCAGAACTTCAGGGTCCGCGCTAGGGTTTAGGGTTTAGGGTTTAGGGTTTAGGGTTTGCGTTTGCCCCGCGAAGCTTCGCTGCGGCTGCCAGCTGCACTGCGCTGCTGCTGCTGCTGCTGCTGTGTGGCCGCAGACGGGAGCTGCACGCGGAGCCGCAGGTGCTCTGGAAGAGATATCAAAAGGCCTGAGCCTGTGAGTGATATACAGCAGCAGCAGCAGCAGCAGCAGCAACTGTCACTGCTGCTGCTGCTGCTGCACAACTTGCAGTGCCCCGAGGCTGCTTGTTGGCCTCGGCTGCATTTCCGCGCACTTGAAGGTGCAGGCCCTGCACCGAACCCCGCCCGCTGCTGCTGTTGCTGCTGCTGCTGCTGCTGCTGCTGCAGGAAGGCGCTGAAGCTGCTGCCGGTGGTGCAGCTAGCTGAAGTACTGCAGCGCGACAAGCAGCCAAAAGGGCCCCACAAGTTGCTGCCAACTCCCCACCTGCACTTCGGGGCCGGCAAGTTGGGCTGCGGCCTTGTGCTGCAGGCCATGCTGCGCAGCAACGTCGAAGACCTCGTCGTGCTGCAGCGCCAGTCAGGTGCTGCTGCTGCTGCTGCTGCTGCTGCTGCTGCTGATCGTGGTGGCTATGATTATGAATAAGATTGTGAATATGGTTACGCGCGTGACTATGATTGTGCCGATGCTGCTGTTGCTGATGCTGCTGCTACTGCTGCGGCTGGTGATGCTGCTGCTGCTGCTGCTGCTGCTGCTGTTGCTGCTGCAGAGGACTTCGAGCCGCTGCTTTCTGCTGCTAAGCGCGAAGGC